CGGGCAGAACCTGGGTGCGCGCCTTGGGGGGTGAGGGCCGGGGAGACGGAGAGACCGCCGGGCCGGTGGGGAGCGCAGGTGCGATGAGTATTTGCAAACGCTCTGCCCCAGGTGCGGCGGGCAGCACGCAGCCTCCCAATGCGCCATCGCGAGGCCCCAGGTGCCGCTTCGCCGCAGTGGCAGAAGGTCCCTGGCCCGCCCCTGAGGACCCGGCCCTGAAGGAGCTGCCTGGAAATCATGCCCAGTGCGCCACGGAGGTCTGCGACCCACCTTTCATCTGCAGGGCTTTGGATCCAAGTGGAAAGTTTGGGTGCAACACAAACCGCACAAAACGAATTTCAGGACCTATTAAGCCCGGCCGGTGTGGCTCAGTGGTTGAGTGTCGACCTGTGAACCAGGAGGTCAAGGTTGGATTCCCCGGTCAGGGCACACGGCCAGGTTGCCCGCTCGATCCTCAGTAGGGGGCGTGCAGGAGGCAGCTGATCCGTGATTGTCTCTCATCATTGATGTTCCTCTCTCCCTCTTCCTCTCTGAAATCAATATATATATTAAAGACCCTATTAAGTCATCTCCACTCCCTTTTGCCAGGTTAAGGTTGTACATATACCTGATTATCACCGCTTTGCTTGGAATACCAAGAAAGCTGTCAAGTTTTGATGGTCATATTTCGCCCTGTGGCCGGGTGGGGTGACGATTTAAAGACCACCCTGCGTGGGACAAGGCTGTGTTGACATGTTAAGAGACCCAGGAGTGTTAAGAAGTCTGAAGGGAGGAGGCATAAAAAGGCACCGTTCACAGTATGTACTCATGGGAAATGGTGGGTTACGCCCCCACAGCCTGTGGGAGATCGGAGAGAGACCCCCACTTGGATAAGCAACCCTGCAGGGCCTCCCGGATGCTTGAAATTTCACCGTTAGAGATATCGATTCCTTTGGGGCTTGCTGAGCCTCTATTAAAATGCAAATTGCCCTTGAAGGGGCAATAGTTCCAGCCCTTATCAGCCAACACCTTAGCGGGAGATGGGATCCATTTTCCCATTTAATGGGATGGTCCAGGGACGCACAGGGGGTGGGGAATTCCGCAGATTAAGTGGCTGACCTCAAAACGCTGGCCTGCGGCCAGTGCTGCTTCCTCCTTCCTCCTCGGTTCTTATCTCTCAGGAGAAGGAGCCCCTTCAGGCATCCTTTAGAGCGCCAGGCGTACAAATTCACATTTCCTGGAGACGTTCTCTAGAAATTCGCAGGGCTTGGAACAAGCCCAGAGCATGATCCCCTGACTGCCAGGAAGTTTCCTTCTCCCTGTAGTCACCTTATTCATTCATTTATTCACACCTCCAACAAAAGGCACCCAGGCACCCGTGTAGACACTGTGGAAAACAATATGGTGTTTCAAAAAAAAAAATGACACATAGAATTATCCTATGATCCTTGCGAATCCAGCAATTCCACTTCTGAGTTATACAAAGCAGGGACTCTGGAGATATTTGCACTCCCATGGGTAGAGCCGCATAACGCACACAATAGCCAGTCGGTGGAAATAAGTCACGTGTCCATCCGTGGATGCGTGGAGAAGCAAAATGTGGTGACGTAAAAAGGTAGGAAATGTGGACATGTGCTGAGGGAGATAAGCCGGTCACGAAAGGTCAGATCCTGTAGGAGTGCTCTTATGTGCGGTACCTATAGTAGTCCCGTCATAGACACGGAAAATACAAGGGTGGTTGCCAGGGGCTACAGGAAGGGAGGTGGGGGGTGACTGTCTGATGGGGGCAGCCTCAGCTGGGGAAGATGAGGGTTCTGTGGAAGGAGGGTGCTGAGGATGGCTGCACAATGAGAATGTCCTCAATGTCGCCCAATGACACCCCGACATACGGTTCCAAACGGTAAGAAAATTATACAATGAAATACCTCTTTACTAATACATCCACTTCAGATGACTATATTAAAACCTATGAGCCCTCGCCTGTTTGGTTCAGTGGATAGAGCGTTGGCCTGCAGATTGAAGGGTCCCAGGTTCGATTCCCGGTCAGGGCACATGCACAGGCTGTGGGCTCAATCTCCAGTTGGGGGGAGTGCAGGAGGCAGCCGATTCGTGATTTGCTCATCATTGATGTGTCTCTCCCTCCCTCTCTCTCTGAAATCAATAAAAAGATATTTAAAAAAACACACACCTGTGAATGACAAGTGATGGCATGGACGTAGAGAAAGTGGACTCCTGTTCATTGCTGGTGGGAGTGGAAAAGGGGGCGGATGGAAAATAATGTGGCTGCTCCTCAAAATACAGAATTATGGCCCGGTCGGTGTGGCTCAATGGCTGAGCATGGACCCATCAACCAGGAGGTCACCAGTTCCATTCGTTCAGGGCACATGCCCAGGGTTGTGGGTTCAATTCCTGGTCTGGGCACATACCTGGGTTGCAGGTTCCATCCCCCGTCGGGGCACGTATGGGAGACAACCGATCAACGTTCTCTTATCAATGAACATAAAAATAAGATTGTGAATATATAGAAGTATTTTGCAACGATAAAAGCACTTTATGAATGCGGGGTGGCAGTCCTGGGTTCATAAGGATGCTGTAATACACCTGGACAAGCGTCCTTAGCAGGTAGTGGTCGACTACTATCTATTCATTTGAATTCTATATCCTAAGCTCGATGTGAAAACTGAAGTTCCTGAAACTTCTGAGCTACTGATGAGAATTCTGTGTGGAGCCCCTGAGAAATAAGAATTGTTCCGGGAGGGCAATGAGGCTCAGAAGTAAGTTCCACTTAAATCCACTAAACTGGCATTACTATTAAATCGGGTTCTAAGAAACATACATCGCCACGATTTCATTAGACTAAGCAATTATTCACGTTCACACACACTGACTCAAACATAATTATACATGGGGGGAAAAAACGTTATGCCTTTAGGGAAAGCGAATCAAAATTTTGAGTCAAAGCACACAGGAGTTGATAATTCTCATCCATCAACCGAACAGAAAATAATGAAGTAAAATTCATCATTTGGTTTTGAAGGATGAGGGTCACCTTGAACCGGAAGTCCTTGAATAGTTTCTTTAAAAAAGAAATAACATGCCTGGCCAGGGTGACTCAGTCGTTGAGTGTCAACCCATGAACCAGGTCGCCAGGGTTCGATTCCTGGTCAGGGCACATGCCCAGGCTATGGGCTCCATCCCCAGTACGGGGCCTGCAGGAGGCTCTGGGAACACAGACACACACCAACACACGCACGCACCTGGACAGACGCGTGGGACGCTCTCCAGGTCACATGCTTCTCCTCTTGCTCCGTCTCCAGGCCTCCGTGTTGGCGCTGCTCATCCTGCAGGACCCTCTGGGCCCGGGCCACGCTCCACACCCACCCGCCAGGCCTCCCGTGGGCAGGATTTCAAAACAGGCTTCCGAAGTGGCACGAAACCATAAACAGAGGGCCAACAGTCCAAGCCAGCACTTTATTTTAAAAGTTTTATTCTGCAGATTTAGAAATTTGAGACTTTAATAACCGCAAAAGAAATCCAGTCACACCTAATGGTTAACAGAATGTAGTGGTGTATTATCCAAACAGAAGTCGTGCTGATGTGCCGTAATAAATCGTCTATTAGTACAAAAATACACTTTAGGGCACAGCAGTGTATCACAAATTACAGGAGGGGTATTTTGCAAGAGTTTAATCAAACTAGAGACTTCTGAGTCACTGTATCTTTTAAATGCAGCACTTAAAAATGTAACAACGCTGTGCATTTCTTTTTCTTTAAAAAAAATGACCTGTGTGTCATAAAAATGCTGCTTTATTGCTGCAGAGGTCAAAGTTCAAGGCTCAAGAGGTACAGGAGAGAATACAAAGGTAGCCTTAAGAAACTTGGTTTTGTTTATGTATAAAAAAAGAGGAAGTTTATAAAAGTTAATGTACAAACCAAGAACGAAAGTGGTATGCACGCATTATGTACAAGCATCCTTGAAACATCAAAATTTTCGAATGCATAGCCAAAAAGAAAAAACAAAAAAACAAGAAACAAAGCCACCACTGCCCCCTGCCAAAAAAAAAAATCCCCAAATCACACCATTATTTCCTTCTGGGTGATCACACCCTTCTGGAACCACCAAATCCACAATCTGCTCAACCTGCTTCATGATCCAGTGTCCGGATGTGCACAAAAGCCGTAAAACCTAGTCCTACACAGACAACCTAAGAATTAAAAACAGGAGGGTAAGGTATTCCTGTAGGTTAGTGTGTCTGGTGATGTGGTTACTTCGCGATCCAGAGGCCCCAGGACAGTCATGTGCTTTGGTGCCCTTCCCCAAAAAGCATGTTTTCGTGTCCAATCAGTCAGCGTCTCCGCTGGACCCTCCGCCCAACGCGATCGATCCGCTGGCTGTCCGTTTGTTTAGTCCACCACATTGGTTCTGCCCCGGTGCATGTAGCTGTGTGCGTGTTACCCCATGCATAATAACATAACGTGTGCGCCAGGCCAGGGCCACCAGCAAGTGGGAAACCGTGTACTTTGAAAAGAACAGAACTCAGATGCGCCCCTTCACTGGCTGGTATTTTAACGGAAATCAGTGTGAGTTAAGCAGTCACCACAGGAAGTACGATAATCATTACGAAGCCAACGTCTGTGAAACCCTCGCCGAGGCCACGTTCTTCGGGCACAGCCTGTAGTTCGCAGTGTTTTCTGCCCACGGCTCAGGAGGGCGCTCTCGAATCATCAGTTCCAACAAAGCACTCAGTACTAGCCCACGGCAGCATCGGCTCTACGGGAAGTGTAATACTTGAGAGAGTGGTTCCGTTCAGATGGAGGAAGTCTAGCCCAGGTTCACATTATTTTAGCAAGGTCCCGTTTCCGGATTAGAAGTGGTCGATCAGGACAGAGACGCAGTTGGCTCCCACCAGGTAATTCGGATCTCCAGGAAGACACTTGTTTTGCCAGGTTTTAGGGTCACCTGTGCGGGTAACAGAAGCTCATGTCATCTGCAGTCACTAGCCATAACGCTTTGCCAACACAGGCCAACAGACATACACATACTTATATACAATTTCCTTCTCTGTCTGATCATGCTGCCTTTATACCCAAACTAGACGATGACTCAATCAGTGGGGTGATCACACGGTAAGGCATAGAAATGCTGACCCACTAGACTGTAACCTGAAACTATCATAATTAACACATTGCGGACGGATCACAAGAATTCTTGCTTCACATTACAGTGTTTTACAAAGCATCATACTTTAAAAAGGTATTAGCTTGTAAGAACATGTAATAAGTAACTTCAAAATGCAATGGGTATTTGATTTTAACGGGTGCCTTTAACATTCATGTAAAACATTTTTTGTACTCATTCAATAGAAACTTACCTGGCCACTGGGTAAAGCTAGTGATGAAACTATTTTAATATAATACTGCATAATGCTCACGAGATTTACCAAAAATTCAGCAGCAGGACTATATATTCTTATTTTTCTAGATCAGGATCAAGTAAGGTGACCTAAACCCCAAATACGACAAGTTCCAACTGGTAACTGACTAGTCGCCCAAGGAAGTGAGAAACGTGAAAATACAATGGGAGCTTTGCAATTGGGACCTTAACACAAAACCACTTAAAAGTAGTGTGTACACAGAAGTGACATAGATGTTTACACTGAAAGCCACAGCCAAGTGTGATCCCAGTGGAAGGTCCTCTGTCTTTCAAGTTCCTGTTACACATGCGTTCAGGATTGAAAAACTAAAGAACAGTGACCCAAAATAGAAATCAAATGAAACAAGTCAAATCATTTTAGTAAGAAGGTGAAAATGCCTGCATATGTAGGACAGTATCAATTCTCCCATTGCACCTTAAAAAATTATTTACTTATTTATTTATGTATTTATTTTTTAGAGAGAGAGGAATGCAGAAGAGGGAGAAAGTGAGAGAGAGAGAGAGAGAAACATTGATTTGTTGTTCCACTTAGTCAAGCTTCACTGGTTGACGCTTGCATGTGCCCTGACCGGGGATCAAACCTGCAACTTTGGTGTTATCAGGACGATGCTCCAACCACTGAGCGGCCCGGCCAGGGCTCCCATCTTCAGAATTCGGACAGAGACGTCATTTGGTTGGGCACCAAGAACAGTCGCCCTTTGGCCAATCCATGGTTAGACGGCAGGCACCTCTCTACCTCCCCGTTCATTCAGTCCGTGCAGCACGAAGGGCTGCTAACAGCCGGCGCCCTCAGCCCAGGTTAATCAACGACAGTCCCAAAGCCCCGAGGACAGAGAGAAGGAGCGTACCCGACGAGGAGTCGGATGATTTTAGAGCAAAAGACCAACCGTCAGGAGTCATGGACGCACAGTGTGGCAGGCGCAGCTCCACGGGCTTCAGGAACTTGAGGCCGTGGGGCCCACACATCACCAGCGGGCTCAGCAGCGTCTCACCTGGAGGTGGGGGAGCAGTTAGAGGGCTGTCTTCCTCTGCACCCCGGTTCTCCTCGCCTGCTCATAGTATTAATGATATGCTAACGGGTTAGCTCTCCACAGCAGCACTAAGAAAAACTAACGGGAGCCACACAGGTAGTTCTCCGTGTCCTAGTAGCGACTTTGACCCAGTGTATCCCCACATCACGTGGACATGTCATCCATACACTAAATCCTAGAAACCCGTGTGTGGCACTTCCAGCACATTTTACCTTGAAGGAGCCGCATTTCCAGGGATAAACAGCCCCCGAGCTGCTGGCCCCTGCAGGGTCCTCAGGGTAAGGTACGTTCACATGCACTTCTTACACGTTACCTACATCCTGCGTTTCCAATGCCAGATTTGGTTTAGGGGCTCACGCAGGGCCACCATGCGTTAGTACTCTGGCCAGATGCTGGGAAGTGAGGGGAAGTGATGCGTGCCCGGCAGGGAAGCACTGCTCAAAGGCTCTGAAAGGAGCCGTAGCACTGATCATACTGATCACCACGTCCCCCTGACAGATCCAGGAGACGGACAACAGCAGCACCCCATTCCTTAAGGAGCCCCACACATGGACCGTAACGCCTGACAGGGTTCTCCCCTCCCTGCCGAGTGTCTGCTAGTGCTGGGCCGGGGCGGAGTCAGACCTGTCCCAGGGGGCTTATGCTCCCCAAGCAGGAGACAGGCACAGCACACCTGGCTGAGTGGGAGTTCCCTCCCCCGTCTCTAGAGATGGAAGGGGACCGACTCGAAGACAAACTTGGAGAGCTGGCTAAGGCCACCTGGCAGACAGGAGGGGCACCCAATGGCCTGTCACCTGCCACTGTCACGCAGGAAGTGAGCAGGCCGCGTGGAAGGCCCAGCGCCTCGGCCTCGCTGCGGGACAGCACTGCCAGCCCGGGACACCAGCCGGGCCCTCCGAGGAGGCCTCTGATGGAGGAGCAGCTCGGCAAGGCCAGCGTGGGGAGAGGGTCCGAGAGCCCTCTCACCCGAGCTCCCGGCAGCCGCGTTCGGGAGACCGAGCAGAGCAAGCCCGTTACCTTTCTCCTTGTCGAGGGGCGGGAGGATGCTGTTGTCGCGGCAGACCTTGAAGTAGATCTCCTGCTCCACGCCCTCCGGGATGGCGCCCTGGGGGATGATGATGCTGACGCCCGTCTCAATGGAGCTCAGCACCCCGCCGTTGCTGCTGAACACGCCCCGGGCCGTGGCCACCACGGTGTGGCCGTCCTCGTCATTGTCCTCCTCCACCGCCGACGGGCTGCGAGCAGGAACGGGCGTGAGTCCACTCCCGCCTCCCGGGCCTCAGCCTGTTCCCTTCTCCCGCCACCAGGAAGCTCTCTCCTGGAGCAGCTACCGATTTCAGCGCTTGGTGTGACTCAGGCTAACGAAGCAGCTGCTCCCTGGAAAGGTCAATTTCATTCTGAAGGCAGCTCATCCCATGCGAGCCCTGACCCGGGCCGGGGATGGAGCCTGCAACCGAGGTACATGCCCTTGACTGGAATCGAACCCGGGACCCTTCAGTCCACGGGCTGATGCTCTATCCACTGAGCAAACCGGCCAGGGCCACCTTTGTTTGTTTTAACATCGCTCTGAGCAAACAGTGGCCGAGGAACACAGGTGCCAATGTTCCTGGGGTCATGGGAAGCTGTTGAGAGAATGGGCTGGATCTGTGCTCCCCGCACCCCACTGTGCGAACGTGGGCACACAGCAAGGGCACTCGGCTCAGTCTCAGATAACAGGGGGCCTATGATAAGACTACTGGCCACGGTGTGACCATCAGCTTCATTATTTCCTGTGCCTCTTGCATGATAGCATTCGTGGCAACGTTTTGGTCAACAATACTCAGGCCCAAGCCAATGTGGCTCAGTGGATAGAGCATCGGCCTGTGGACTGGAAGGGTCCCAGGTTCGAGTCTGGTCAAGGGCACATGAC